CCTTATTGATAAACCTACTACCTTCGAGTAAGTTTCTGACACCACATGATTGACACATATGAGGACACCCTCTGAGTGACTCCACCATGTCGGCTCCATGTTTACATGTTTATGTTTTCCTTGGTTATATGTTTTGTGTCCTCTAACCCGTACTGCACGTACTTTCATAAGTTAATGTCGATATTTTGTATGGTTGAATGATTGCATTGTCAGAACTAGCATGTGTCAGCCTATGACGACATTTTCTTATTATGTGGTAGTTGAAAAGTTTTATCCATAGTAGAGATTTTGGGTCTCATATGATAAAAAAAGGTCCCAAAAAGGCTTTGCGGAAGTATGCTTTGAGGGTAATGAATTTTTTAATGTCAACACCTTTGTAGTACCGTCAATACAAGGACACATTACCTTGGTACTGGTCACACACAAAATATAGATTTGCTGAAAAAATTAATTTAAAAATGAATGTTATACTAAAATGTTCTACATAAACCCACGCTTCGAGGTGGCAAATTGACAAGGGTTAAAATGTGTATTTAAAATGAGAACATTTTAACCACGACAGGACCATTGGTGGCTATTATTACTTATTTAGTAAAGGTTAAAAGGTTTCTGTCTTTCTCTTTTGTTACCTTCCTTTGAGTGAGCATAAAATTGGATGTATCTTAGAACTATATGACACTTTTAAAAATGTTGCAATCACTGAATAACAGAGATTATATCGTTCTGTATATCCTGGGCATATCTATTGCTTCACACATCACGTGGTTGCCGCTCGAGGTCACCTACCGAGTGGTGACAATATTGCCAGTTTTTTTTTCCCTAATACACATTTGAAACCTTTGATATCAAAATTTTAATGGTACTAAGTGCAGGTCGTGTCAGGGGACCTAAAACATATAACCAAGGAAAACATAAACATGTAAACATGGAGTCGACATGGTGGAGTCACTCAGGAGGTGTCCTCGAGTGTCAATCATGTGGTGTCAGAGACTTAAACGTACGTTTATCAGTAAGCAAGGGGTGATACATCTTCTTAACCTGACGATGCTACACTGAGAATAATCAATTTTGCTATCAATCACTTCTCCAAAGCTTTATTTACGTTAAATCAATACGTGGATTATGTCTTTGTTTATTGACGGTATTGCAAGGTGATGACCTTAGCTATCCGAAATAGCCATTCATATAAAGATGTTTTGTTAGGCCATATATATCCTTGTGAAATATTTTTCAAACTTAGAATAATGTCATCGCCTTTTGAGCACACGCTGTAGTAGTAAGATATGATATAATAATTAAAAAAAGACTTGCTGCATAATAAGTCAAAAACTGCTCGAGATCATATGCTTGGTAAAACTATATTTTGGCATGGGGGCAATACGTTACCTCCACACTTTTCTCTCAGTGAATTAACACATTGAAGCATAGCTAGACAAATGGACAATCTATATCACCAAGTAAACATTACGTTACAAGAATATATGTGGTTTATGACTTTGTATTGTAAGACATGAATCTTATTCCAATATGTGTACTTTACATGTCACATATACAGACATTTTAGCCTTCTTGTGCCATTGTTATAGCACTTTTATGCATATATTTCTTTTAACTGTTGGTGCTACTTTATACATATAAATGAGTTTTACAGTAATTATTTGTAAGAAAATCCAAGCATGTCCTCCCCTGTAAACAACAATAAGAATATAAAACTTCTAAAAATAATACAAAACATAAACATTGGCATTGCCACCTTAGACCAACTAGTAACATCAGCTTTACGAGTATTGTACCTCGCTAATCTTTGTAATAGAAACTTTGTTTGTCATAGTACATAAGCTGCCTATTGTAATGAAAAGATCTTTATAACCTCTGTAACGCACTATTTTTGGCGACATCTCAGGGAGGAGCCTAATGGTACAGTATTGTGTGCAGCTTGCAATGATTCTAGGAATTATACAGGCATTTTCTTTCCACAGGAATGGAATATCCAGGCATGTCTCTCGTTCACTATACACTCAGGGGAGAAGTGCACGGTATCTGTTTAGACTTACAGGTACCAAGGCTTCCTCAAAATCTTGAAATGATGGCAGTGTCATGCAAACAATAACCCTAACAGCAACCACCGTCGCCATGGGAATGTATGTTTTCATTGCCAGTGTTGTAGTTGAAGTGACCAAGTTTGCACGAATTTGTGCCTCAAACATAGATACTTTTTTTACAGGTTCAGGGATAGCAGATAAGTTTCCCCAGGGTGTGATAGCCTTCTTCGCCCCAACTCCCAGTATCCCCAAACCTGAGCTGGGTGACCGGCAGGTCATTCTTGTGGGACAGGTACCCAGAGTCCTCGCGCCACGTGTGATCATTGGCGTCACAGTTGCACCTACCAGAGCATGGACCTGTTTTGCCAGAGATCATTTAACAAAAGCTTTATTACCTTTGCACAAACAAAATGCAGCATATTACAAAGCAGAAATGAAAACTCAATGTTCTGAAAATTCGCTTATTCTATTCTCCTCTGAGGTACTAGTAAAATGCAAGCGTATATAAGTCCTAATTACCTGTTTGTCCACAGGCACATTTCCCACTCCCAGGACTGGCACCTCCCCAGTAGTCAGCCTGGCGACCGTCCCAAGTCACCCACCAGGCATGTTGAATGATGCCAGAAACGCCCCAGATCAGTGAACCAGAGCATTGATACTGGGAATGCATGTGGAATTATTACCTACATATCACAATTAATGCAACATCATATTATACAACAAAAGATGTATGAATGGTATTGTAGTATTGTTATCCATAAAACATCTGCCTAAGATGCCACTACAATCTACTACCCAAGCACAGTTTGGTAGAAAAATCGCTACGTTCTAGTCCCATAACCGATTTCTTGTCTGACCTCTTGTTAGGGAGGTTGGATACCGACGGGGTGTGTGATAGAAAGGTCATACAATTTATTAGGATCCTTTGATTGAAGAGCTCTTCTAACCCTGTTCAGATGTTGTGCTAAAAACTCCGACTGACATTCTTTGTAGGTTTGTAAGACTTGATCCCAAGCTAACCTCTCGCATGTCTCAAGCTATAAACAATAATTCATACCTCCATTAAATATGTAAGGTTTGATCATGGAAATAAGGTCCTAATTAACACCATCTGGTTTAATCTATAGTTTTCTAAACCCAAATTAAAATCTATTTAGCTTGGAATATTCCTATCCTTTGGCCATATTCCAATTCAACATTTCCTCATTAATTATATCAACTCTTCACTAAGAAATCACAGAATTTTACATTTATTATGTATATTAGGGTGATATTGGTATAATTGCTAAACTTTTAAATTGTCAATTTTGCGTCCAACTTCTTGTTAAATAGTTTGGTCAAAAGTGTTGCATATGTAAAAAAAATGACAGTAATTTATTAAAAAAACGTATGCTCGGATACTATTTCAAACCGTCTTTGGTTTGCATGCAACTGACCTTGAATGAAACTGGTCGGTACAGAAGTGAGAGTTGAAGCAGAGGTATGTTGATCATGATAACCGCTTAGGCACGCCTCGAAGGTGATTAAAAAACAATACCTAGGCCACACCAATTTAATTTGTTGTTGCTCGATTTTTTTTTCAGAAAAAAAAAAAAAAACAGGAGCGACAGGGAAAAAAAAAACAGGCCAAGGCACCCCATGATAGCCAGAAATGTTACAATATGAGCCATGAACACACTAGGTTGGTTTATAATCAATGGATTTTAAACTTTTAATGAAACAAAATTGCATTGTTACATTGAAAAACTTAAGAACTAGGAAGAAAAGGTTAACGTTAGACCGCAACGTCTGCTATGTAATAGTATATTTATCTAAAGAGTAACCGACACTGCACTGTTAACTGTTTCCTGTTCCGAGTTTATGTTCTTGTTGTGAGGGCTAGCCCTTTATAATAGCCTCCCGCTAGTTGGGCAGTCCTGGCTGTATATACTGTAATTCTTGATTTGATAACGGTCACTTAATTATAGCGGTTTTAGCGGTCACTATTCCACCGCTAAATTTTCATGATCGCAACTTTTTTTACCACTTCAGCCCCCCTCCCTCTTGCCCCAAGCTCGTTACGGTACGAAATCTAGGTAGAAATACAATCAAATGTTAAGCGTCATTTGTACTACAAAATGTAAAAGCGTTAATAGCGTGCTACGACTAAGACGAATCGAAAATTCGGAAACCAAGCGCTGTGTGAAAAAAATGGCGTCACAAGTTTTTCGAAAATTGCGAGTCAACTTTTGCGGCAAAAAATACGATTAAACGTTACTGTTAAAGGCTATAGTGTCTGTAGAACTTTCTCGAGGGCGTCATGGATTCCATTACGCTCCAATCCTAGGGCGAAGACGCCGGGTTTCGCTGTAAGCTCGTCTGCGGCGCCGGACATGTAGCGACGTGCAGCGGCATGGAGCTTGGGGAGGGGGGCGGCGGTGCCGCACGCAACACAAGCGTGCGTAATTACGAACTTTTTGAAGTCACCGCGCCGCTACAGTACTTTGTAAATTATTTACTTCCAGACACCATCGGCGTGCCTGTTTTGTTTTTTCTTTGTAAAAATCGATTTTCGCTGGCGTAAACTGCTTTTTTCTTATTTTCTTTAAAAAAAAAAAGGCCAGCGTTTTAATGTATTTTTTTACACACATCAGCCATGTTCACACCGCTATAATTAAGTGACGTAAGGTTGTCCATCTTTTGCCGACCGCTATAATTTCCAACCGCATTTTTAAATGGATTTACAGTATATGTTTTATGCAGCCTAATAAATCAAATCAAAAGGACTTTTTTCAACCGTTGGGGCCAAAATGTGTCTTTTATTGAGCATTTTGCAGTTAATTTAGAACCATTTTGTTGCTTTTTTTGCAAATCAGAAAAAAATGGATAGGGCGATCCGAGAAGCAACAAATTAAATTGGTCTGGCCCTACCTTGATGTATTGTTTGCAGTGACTTGACTGGTTCACCAAGGCTCTCACTTGCTCCACACTATTCCAGTATATCACATTCTTGGAGTAGCTGCCTGAATCCTCAAACCCATTCACATGTGTCCGTGTCTCACTGTCGTGGCCAATAAACGTAACCGCTGAAATCGTAATAAACCGTTCAAACATTAGGCTGTAGTTATTGTAGACATTCTCCTATTCGTCTTAATAAATTTAGCCGTTACTAGTTTCTTGCGTGTGTCACTATATAACAGGGCTCAAGTAGTACATAGACCATGGGCCAGGCAAGTTTACTGTCTCAGCACTCTTTGCCAATTTTCCTAACCTGTTTGTCCCTCAAGGTCACATTGAACATCCATCGGTGCGACCCCACGTCCTGGTCCGTCAGGGTCGATGATGTAGAGTTTCCGTTTTTTAAACCCACTCATTTCTGCTACTTCAGTGCAGCTAGCTGGTACATTGCATGTATCTGTTTGAAAAGAATACCATTTTAGAAATAAGTGCATCTTTAACCATTTGTCATTGTAACAAAAACATGTGTGCTATTTTGTAGTCGCTTTTATTCTAGTAGCGTCACTGGGTGTCAACACAAAAAGGCAACATCCTAACATATCTTACTGTGTGATTTACCTAGAGCTACCCAAATATCCTAAATGCCTAATATTTATATATAAAAAAATTATGTAGATGTACAAAAAGCTAAGTCTAAGTAAGATAACAAACAAACAACAACAACAAAAATTCACACACCGGTCTCAAGGGCACTTTCCACCTGTATCTGCTTACCCCCCATCTCTCGGAGTGCATCTTTGATTCTATCCATGTCTGTCTGGTGATGTTCAAACCAGCCGGCAGTTGGTAAACCAGACAGACGCCTAGGTGGAATGTTCCAACGCCTATATAGGTAATGATCGGAATATTTGTTAGGCATCCAAAGTGTGTTAAAGCAGTTTGTTGTAATTGTTATTAGTAAAGCGAAGGTTATTTACAAAAGAACATATAAGAATGAAAGTCATTGACTAAAAAACTGCATATGTAAAACACCGGCCTGAGGAAAGATTATGAAATGCATTTTAAACCAGAAATGGTGTAGTTTGGAAGATTCACAATTTATAGTTCCAATTCCAATCAAAAAGTTCCTTAATCTTGTATTCTTACATTAATGATCTTCCAGTGATAATCTTTTCATGATCTTGATTCATGTAGCAATGTTTGTATATATATATAGATACTTTTTATATAAATCTTTACAAGAAATATTTATAAGAGTCAGATTAGCTCGTTAATACTAGAAAAAATTGTAAACTGTATCTGTCTGAAATGTAAAATACCGTACGATTTCCGCAATCGTCAGTAATGTCATTAATGTGTTGCAATAAAAAACATGGGGATTCTCTGTAAAACAGTTCTTTTCACTTTGAAACTACCCGCCAAGGTAAAAAAAAAAAATATTAAAAGCTACAAGTTAGTAAATAAAAAAGCACTTACCCGAGATTGAAAATAATAGTTCCATTTGATACCACCATACCTTTTAGGAGAGAAGGGCCTGTTGCTTGTACCCATTCTGTGACAGTACCTAAGATACATGCCAACAGGATAACTTTAAATTGACGGTTCCAAGCCATTGTGCATAATTTTCTCTTACATCCCCGTGGGCATAATATGGCAGAACTGAAAGATGAAAATGTTTTAACCTTTTACATGATTGAGACGAAGTTTTCCAGACTGATTAACTCACCCAAACAAACTGTTATGCATAAAAAAACATTTTGGATGGATCAGTGCAATAAAAAAATAATAATCTATAAAACAAAGATTTTTAGCCTTTTATGATCTAGTTTTCATCTAGATGAAAGGCATTTTGAGGCAGGTAATTTTTGTTTCTTCACTAGAAATGGTACTTTGATTTTGAAATCAACGCATTTGAACTGCACAAGATCTCCCTACCTTGGTGAAAATACGTACCGTGTGCGTTGAGTAGCCCCCCCCCCCACACACACACACGCAAATATAGAAGAACTTCATTGCGATTGTACAGGGTACATTGTATGGCAAGTAGGTAACAATAAGTAGCATAGTAAAATAGATAGGTATAGAATAAAACTCAGCAAATTATATATAGAAAAGAAATAATCAAAAGTTAGCTTAGGCTTTACAATCAACCACATATTATACACAAAAGTAAAAGTTTTTCAACACGTCATTTACATGCGTATAATAAAAGAATGCAGGATATGGCCTCGATGATGTAGTCTGTGTTGCCATAAATAGACGCTATTTATCCCGGACAGGCTTTTTCGGTAACCGATTGCCTAAGATGACCACTCTAAACATCGTATGCACGCAGGCTACAGATCGGAGCAGCTTAATTTCTACGCCAGATATGGAATTCTGAACGACACAACTGTCTTCCCGGTGACTTTTGCTGTCTTACAAGTTTCAACATCACACAGTTTCCACTGCTGTGTTAGACTGAAGTCACTAATAAAGTAAAACAGAGATTTTTTTAAATTGAACCAAGAACGATCTGTTTACTTTAATGCCAAAAAATCATCCTCACATCGGTAGTCTATCGCAGAGATGTGTTGGCCTCTTTACTATTGTTGGTGTAAAGCTGATTAAATTTTAACCACACTTAGAAAATGTAATATGAAGAATCAACATACTTCAATAGAAATGCCTGCGAGGTGGGTAATTTAAGTGAGAATTTAAACCTCAACGCGTATGGCCCTTCTCATTTGAAAACCAATAAATTCAAATACTAATAAATTTGGTTTAATGCTACTGATGGAATTAATACACTTCAACCATTGTTTTTGGAACATTTTTCTTTCTTTTAATGTTCAGCTTGCTAGAGACAAGTCAGTATTTACACACTTTCAACGTTCTTCGTAGGTTATAGGTTTTGGCAAGAAGTGAATGATGAAAGGTCTGGCTGTGCGTAAATATTTCTATCACAAAAAAATCGTCTTAGGCGTTCAGTTTTGCACACAGGCAAAGTAAGCTGTTACAAGTTATATATAATAACGCTTAAATATCTGACACCTTATGAAGATCGTACGCTGGTACGGCCCCACTTGGAATATAGTGCCACCGTCTGGGACCCGCATACCATCAAAGGGATACAGGCGGTGGAGGCTGTCCAGCGCAGGGTCGCCCGGGTGACCCTCAATGACTACAGGCGAACTAGCAGTGTGACAAAAATGCTCAACGACCTGCAATGGCCTCTTCTCTCCGAAAGGAGGAGGAGCGCCCGCCTCACAACATTTTTTAAAATAGTTCATAACATCGTAGCAATTAATACCAAAATTGGCAGTTTTTTGCAGCCCACACACGGGCGTACCCGAGGGAGCCATTCTCTTAAATATCGGCCCATTAACGCACGCACTGACACATACAGATTTTCTTTTTTTCCCCGTACCATTCCACAGTGGAACTCCTTACCCGGCCCGGTAGTCGTGGCTCCCAATGTTGAGTCGTTCCGGGCCGGGCTGGCGGCCTGCCCGCCTTAGCCTTGACCCCCCCCCCCCCTAACGGCACCCCTCGCGGGGTTATCTGGGGGTAATCAAGATGATGATATGATGATGAAGATTATTGACGCTTGATATCGTCTACTTAGTGCTCCACCATGTCGACTCCGTGTTTACATGTTTTTTTTTTCCTAGTGTTCATGTTTTGGGTCATCTGACACGCCGTACACGTTGTATTATATTTGTAGCAAAATATGTCAAAGTAACGTAGTTATATTATATACATGTAGTACCTATTCGCGCGTACCAATATTACTTTGCGGATTGATGTTCTAAGAGGCTACTAAGGGCTTTGAGTTTACAGGTCATCTTTGTATAAGTATTATAACAAGAATGAGTTTACTGGGATCCAAGATTAGCATAGATGGAAACAATTCCTCCTGACTTCCTGCATACTATAGGTTTAAGTCACTTTAAAAAAAGATTGGATGTCAAACAATTCATAGCAAAATTGATATTATATCAACGCAGGGTCACTATAAACCCAGACATGTTTATGTCAAATTGTTGAATCGAGTTGAATTTGTGACTTATCGGTAGAACCCTCCTCCCTCTTTAATCTGACGCAGTAACTCTACACATCCACATCCATACGTCTATCAGGATGCAACCTCATTTGTTTGTAGCAAAACACTCCGCATGAGTAAAGCCCGAGGTCGCCTACGTTGATACTTGTGAGGATGTTTCTGACTCAGGGAGAAGAGTTGCTGTTACAGTTCTACATGTATACCTCTAGCTCTATGCCTAGAAGTGGCCAATGGCCTTGCATTGAGCGACACCGTTAAAAAAAATAAAGCTCATAGTGTTGATGCGATGTTTACATGCCTCTATTTTCCCTGTTTTCATGTTTTTGGCATATGATGTGCCATGCACGCACGTTGATACGTCCTTTTATTTTCGGGGAAGGACCATACGCAATAAGGTTTAAATTTTCACTTAAATTGTTACCCTCTGTGCATGCAGTTCGAAAGAACTACGTTGATTCTTCACATTACATTTTCTAGGTTAACTTGCAACACAGCAAAAATCGTCCGTAAGATAGTTATGTCGTTCAGAATTCTATATAGCTGGCGTAGAAATGAAGCTGCTCTGTAGCCTGCGTGCGTCCGATGTTTTGAGTAGTCATCTTAGGCAATCGGTTACGGAACAAGCCTGTCCGGGATAAAATAGCGCCCACCCATGGATACAGACTGGCCAATTTGATACTGTCTTACCCCCACCAAAAGATCTGCTTACAGACTGGCCAATTTGATACTGTCTTACCCCCACCAAAAGATCTGCTTGGAGATTATGTCGGGTGGGGGGGTGGCACTCACGCATTCAGTATGTGTTTTCACCCAGGTAGGGATATCTTGTGCAGTTAAAAAATGTTGATATCAAAATCAAAGTACCATTTCTAGTGAATAAAACAAAAATTACCTGCCCCAGAATGCCTTTCATCTAGATGAAAACTATTTCACAGAAGACTAAAAACCTTTTGATTTTCTCAATCCATAAAAACATTTTTTCTTCAATACATTGCACTGATTTATCCAAAATTTGTTTTATGCATAACAGTTTGTTCGGGCGAGTTAATCAGTCTGGAAAGCTTTGCTTCAATCATTTTAAAGGTTAACAAATTTACATCTTTTCAGTTCTGCCATATTGTGCCCACGGGGATGTAGGAGAAAAGTATGCACAATGGCTTGGAATCGTCATTTTAAAGTTATCCTGTTGGCATGTATCTTAGGTACTGTCACAGAATGGTTACAAGCCACAGGCCCTACTGTCCCAACAGGCATGGTGGTATCAAATGGAACAATTATTTTCTATCTCGGGTAAGTGCTTTTTATTAGTAGCTCTTTCGGTTTTTTTTTTTCATACCTTGGAGGGTAGCGTCAAAGTGATAATAACTGTTT